TTATTTTTCTGGAAACAAGTTTCATTAAAAGAGATGGGGATTAAAGAGGTGGGAAAACTGCCCTGGGGTGGAGTCACAGTGGGAAAGGCATCCCAATTCCTTGGGTCTTAGGAGGAACATGGGTACAGACCACAACGGACAGGAAGCGAAGAGGGGGTTGCATCATTTTGCAACAACATTGACAGAGAAACAGGCTTTTCCTCTCTTCCCTAACACCTCTCCAATGGGGACATGGCCACATGAATTCTCTTGCCAACATCTAGGATACTCAGCCAGGGTGACCCTATAGGAACCTGGAAGCTAAGTGACCTATGAGAACAAGGAAGAGTTAATACATTATAAGCCCGAACACAGATTCCAGGGATTTACTATCATATTTTTACATTCATTTGTGCTTGTATTTATTGACTAGAGGCCTGGTGCATGAAAATTGTGCACTAGGGGGGTCCCTCAGCCCAGCCTGCACCCTCTCACAGTCCGGGAGCCCTTGGGGGATGTCCGACTGCTAGAGGCGGGAGAGGCTTCCGCCACCGCTGCTGCACCTGCCAGCCATGAGCCTGGCTTCTGGCTGAGCAGTGCTCCCCCTGTGGGAGCGCACTGACCACCAGGGGGCAGCTCCTGCATTGAGCATCTGCCCCCTGGTGGTCATTGAGCATCATAGTGACCCGTAGTTCTGCTGTTCTTTCAATTTGCATATTAGCCTTTTATTATATAGGATGTTATTAAAATTTTAGCTGAATAGTTATTGCTATACTATTATAGATGCCTAAGCTGTGTTGAGGAACTAGTACATAATCTCCACTGTGGTGAGAGAAACACAAGGTATTATTTTTGATGACTAAGGACAAAAAAGGACTTCCCCATTTTTCATTGCATTGACAATCCCCTGACCATGTCCACAGGATATGAAACTGTCCTTCAGGGCCTGGGCAGCCTCAGCCCAAAACTAATGAAGCTTTTGGCCTGGATGACAGAGCCGCTGGGAGGCCAGTGACTGAGTCCATGCAAACACTCCAGGAGGATGTTTATCTCCACCTAGTCCAGGGATTCTCAGCCTCTCCTGCAAACCTCAGCCTGAGTACCTGTGCAAGCCTTTGGACTGACCTAGCTGGGGGTTTGATCCCTGGTTGTGGTGCATACAGGAGGCAATTGAGTGATGTTTCTTCTCACATTGATGTTTCTCTCTCTCTCCCTCCCTTCCTTCCTCTCTCCTTTCCTCCCTCTCTCTCTAAATATCAATAACATATCCTCATGTGAGGATTAAAAAAATAATAATCAGGTTCCAATACATTGGCCAATTTCCAAAGCTCTTTAATGATAAGACTTGTGCTAACACTTATCGGGGTCCCAGGGTGCACCAGTGTCTGTGCTAGGTACGTGCACAGATATCTGCTAACTTACACTCGCCAGCAGGGTGTGTACAGGTGTTATCTCCATCTGGCAGAGAAGTGGAGGCTCAAAGCAGTTCAGGAATACCCTTACGGTGGACAGAATGTGAAACCTTCCATTCATGTCGCTCATTCCGAGTGTCTATTATATTCCAGGCCCTAAATCGGGCCTGTCCTTGAAGGCCATTACTTTGCTTCCACCATCTGAACTCCTTCTGCCAGTGCAGTCTAGCTTCCAGAAAGGAGGCGAGGAGGGATGTGAAAAGGGAAAGTAGGCCTCAGGATGTGAGAGACAAACACCCAGGTCCATCCCAGCCCTTCCGCACTGCTGCCTCCATGGTGCCCAGACCCTCACCTCTGTGACCCAGGCTGGTATTTTTTCCACCAACATCTCCCTTGAAAGGATAACAAAAGTGTTTTCACTGGTGCTATTGTCATGTGATCAAAGCATAGCTCAGGAAATGGGGTCCCTCGAAAGCTGTTTATCTAAAATCTCCTATTTCACCAGTTGGCACATTTTAAGAGAACATTCTGCACCTTCTCTCCCAAGGGCAAATATTTCAGTTACCTGTGTCCTGAGAGCCAGGCTGAGGCCACACATACTCTGCTTAGGAAAAGAAAACATCGGAGCGGTTTCCTTCGTGCTCAATCCACTGCCCCCACCCCCTCTGCTCAGAAATCCTGATAGAGTCTCTCACAGGAAGCTGGAGTGGGTCAAGGCAGGGAAGAAGGAAAGACAAAAAGTTCTAAAACCAGACTTAGGTGGGAGTGTTTTTTTATTAGTGATAAAAAACAGTCCCTTTTTCTGAGTTATTCAGATGAGCTCCGAGTAAATATTTACCTTTTCAGCTAATGGGTCTGTTCAGGGAGTCCAGGGCTCCCAGACAGCCCAGCTGATGGATCACTTTTTGCTTCCCCCCCGTCCCAGGGTAGGCCTGGGCGAAATTATTTGGCATGGCGAGCCTGTTTCCTGTGGCATGTATGAGGAAAAACGTTGGTCTTAGTGCCAGAGCGATGGGTGTGAGGGACCTCCCAGCTCTAGCCCTCTGAAATGATTTAATAGTCATATCGTCAGTGTTCCCGGAGAAAGACGGATGCTGGGGTCTGTAGCCCTCCCCTCCCCTGAGGTCTGAATGGAGTGCTTTGTTCTTTGGTGGTTTCAGGGAGGGCTGTGTTCACACCACCCACGTCCCTAACACACACAAAGCACACACAAACACACACGTAAAATTCACATAGATGAATAAATGAAACAAATACATATGGACACACTACACTGACACTTTTGAGGGCGGAGGCCAGTCCTTATTCATATTTGTGTTCTCACATTGCCTAGCAATGCCTGGCATCGAGCAGATGATTAATACATACTTTTTGGATGAATACATGCATAATTATCACTGGAACCATTTATTTAACACTTAATAGGTGCCAGGTGTTGAAGGAAAGCTTCAACATGCTCTGGTTTAACCCTTGCAGCAGACCATGACATCTGGCACGGTCCCTCTCCCCATTTCACAGAGAGGAGAAGTGAGGCTTAGATAGGCCAAGTGGTTTGTCCAAGGTTACACAGCTGCTCTGTGCTAGCAAGAGACATCTGACCCCAGAGTCTATGCTCCTAACATCTTCCTCTACAAACTCATGCACCCAAAGTGTAAGTCAGAAACACATCCATAAATGTCTTATATCAACAACAGCCGTTCCCTCACCAGGGTGGCGAAAATCGACCTGGAGGCCTTAGCTGTGCTGTGTCTCTGTCTCAGACATTTCTTCCTTGTCCTTCCTCCCTGTCCCCAGTTGTCAGACACTCAGTGGAGGCATCCGTTTCAGAGTAAAGGCTCTGCATTTCGGGGGGTGGGGAATGAACCTTGGATTTAGCTGCCTTCCAGCAGCACAAATATTTTCCCGAAGAGTAAACTGGCAAGTTCCTGACTGTGCACTTTCTCACACTGCCAGAACAAATGGTCACAGATCTAGCATTTTAACACAATGCTCATTCATTATCCTGCAGTCTCGTAGGTCAGGAGTTCTGTGCAGGTGGAGTTGGGCTCTACCCAGGGTATCACAAAGCTAAAATGAAGGTCTGGGCCAGCTGGACTCTTTTCTGAAGACTTTGGGAGACAGAACTCACTTTCAGACTCATTCAGGTGTTGGCAGAATTCAGTTCCTTGCAGGTGTGGGATGGAGGTCCCGCTTCCTTGCTGGCTTTCAGCCAGGAACTGTTGTTTGCTCTTAGAAGCTGCCCACATTCCTTCTCATGTGGCCCCTTCCACCTTCAAACAGGCCAGAGCGTGTCAATTCCTTTTCATGCTGGGAATCCTTCTGACTTTCTCTTCTGCAACCTGCTAAAGAAAGCCTTCTTCCTTTAAAGCAGTGGTGGGGAGCCTTCTTCTTTTTTTGGGGGGGGGGGTCAAGGGCCATTTGAATATTTATAACATCATTCGCAGGCCATACGAAATTATCAACTTAAAAAAATCAGCCTGCTATATTTGGTCAAACATTTAATTAACTCACCCTAGTGACTTGGCAGAGCCCGGCCAAATGATTTCTGTGGTCTTATATGGCCTGTGGGCCGGATGTTCCCCAACCCTACTTTAAAGGCTCATGTGATTAGATTAGAACCACCTAGATAACCTCCCTTGAAGGTTAACACCATTACCAGAGGATTAGGGATGGGATCTTGGGGGCCATTCCTAGAAATTCTCCTTGCCATACTTTCCTGGATTGTAACTGAGGGCAAAGATAGGAGAAAGGTTGATATGGTGGGCAAAGGGGGTCGACCCAGGCACACCTAGGTAACGGGCAAAGCAGAAGGAAGGAATTGCATCATTTCTTCAAAAACAAGTCAAAGCACATCAGGGCAGAGCCAAGGATTTAAAAGGTGGCACTTAGTAGGCTCTTGATAATGTGACTCTGAGCACCTGGTGTTCAAATGAACCACAAAGTTGCAGAGAAGAAGGAAACCACACCTTCCTTGGTTACATAAGGATGATTCACACCTGTGGACTCCTTTCTGGGTTCCAGGCACTGTTCCAAGAGCTTTACTTGTATTCATTCATTCTATCTTCAGATAAGTGTGTGATATTAGGGTATTATTATCCCCATTTTACAGATGAAGAACAACTCGATTAAGGAAATCGCTAAACATTGTGCAGCTGGTGAGTGTGATAGACAGGCTGTGAAAGCAGACAACCCAGCTCCTGAGACGGTTTTTAACCATTGCACTGGACATACCTGGTGTGGTAGCCGTTTCGAGCGCCAGTCATGGGAGAAAGGACTAGAGCAAAAACTGGAACATCAAATAGGGGACTGCGGCTCTGTGACGTGGGCTAAGGCCACTAGATGTCAGAGTGGTATGATGGGGAGAGCCTGGGGTTTGGTGTTAGAAGATCTGGTGTCATATTGCAGCCACGAAAGTCTTGAAGGTTGTGACCTTGGGCAAGTCATTTCAATTCTCAGAGCCTCTGTCCCCTCATTTACAAAATGGGGAAAGAAACATCTCAATCATTATAGGAGTGTCATGTGGTTCACTGGTGTGCGAACATCATGTTAACGCATTTTGTACATCGAAGACAGTGTTTTTATCTGATATTTGTTTGCTGTTTCTTCCAGACCCCAGGGGTGACGTGCTGCCGAGATGAATAGCCTTCTAAGGTAAGAACATTTTTTATATCTTTAGGCCTCGGTTCTTGCTCACCCATAAGTTTCATGTTAATTCTTGAACTTCCATTCATTCCAACTTTTTCTTTAGTTTGCCTTTGTCTGTGTTTCCCTTCACACACGTGAAGCGGCTGCTAGGAGTCGATGACCTTGAGGAATTCCACTGGAGATTAGTAGAGGGCATTTTCATTTCAATGTATGGAGATTTGTGATAGGAATTGGTTCAAACCATTACGGAGACCAGGAAGTCCCATGACCTGCCACCTGCAGGCTGGAGGCCCAGGACAGTCCCAGTCCACAGCCCTGACAACCAGGGGAGCCAGGAGGGCCAGGAAAGGCTGAAGGAAGTCACTGGGGCTCTTAGTTTTCTCTGTAGATGAATAGAAGGGAGAGTCAACTGATGAACTGGAGAACTCAAGGAGAAAGGTGATGGTTAGAAACAGAAGCCTTGGAAAAAAGAAAGGAAGTTGAGTAGACATGACAGTGGGGGAAAAGCATGTAATGAGAATAGAGCCACAGTTGTCTAATAATTATTCACCTTACTAACTATAGATAAGAGATTTTCTTACCCTGGGAAACTGGAAGATGAAACAAGACTGTAATAAGATAAGATGCTAAGATGCCTTGATGGGTCTTTTATTCAGAAAAGAAATACATTTTGAGAACAGACCAAGGACAGGACATGCTTTGTTTTGGTTGATGTGCCCAGACCCTGACCCCCTCTGGGAGTTTTTCTCAGGAACACTGACCATTCTCTGGTCCCAGGAATGGGCTGAGCTGTTTGTAGCATCATAGATTAGCCATCTTGTTATCAGACATTGAGCTCCTGAAGGCTGGACTGCGGACTCTACCCTCCCTTTTCCATGTTACACTTGCAGCTCCCAGGTGCACATAGCTATCTTCTTCCTCATGTGTAAATAACCAGCCAACTAGCAAGAAGGGTCATAGCAGATTTTCATGGATGACCTGCTGCTCTCTCATACTGCTGGCAGTATTGGAACAAACGCTCATATATGATTCAACCCTGTCTCTGCTTAATTGGCTCAAGTAGTGACAGGCAGTCCAGACCTCTTGGTTGTCCGGTTACAGACACATGTTCAAAAAACATTTAGAAACTGGCAAAGATTGAAAATCATAAATTTGTTAAATTAGCATGATTGTGCGAGTTTCGTTCAGTAGATTGAAGTAGGGTTGCAGAAGCAAAAAATCCCCAGTGTTTGCTTGAGGCTCAGAAAGAAACAAATATTTATTAAACAGCTACAGTTCATCCATCTATTTTTACAAAAATGTCTATTGAATACCTGCTGTGTTCCAGACACTGTTTTAGGTATTGTGGATGGGACACTAAGACTAATAATCTTTCCTGATGGAGCTTGCAATTTTGTGGCAAGAAACAGAATTATAAAGAGGCAACTGAAAATTACAAATTGAGATTTATGTCATCAACTCTATGGTATATGTATATATTAACATCTAGATATGTGCATATATGTAGATACTGATGTTTACATGCATATATGTCTGTATTGATATATATGTGTGTATCTCTATCTAGAAACACATTGAATTATCATACTGGCTTGTGAACCAGTGTTCACTCATTTTATTAATGAGGCTCAGAGAGGTTAAAGATCTCACAGTCACACAGATAATAACAGTCAGAGTCAAGATTTGAACCCAGATGCTATAACCCCGGCCAGAGCTCTTTCTATGGTTTCCATCTATACTACTGAGCTCCTTGGCAGGGTGGAGAGGTGGGAGGTACGAGGGAAAGGGATAGCTGGGTATTGATGAGAGTGGACCAGAAATGACCAACCGAAAGGGAAAGGAGATCATGAAGCCAGAAAAGGGAGGGAGTTCTTGACTTGGAAAACAGGGAAAGGGGGTCAAGGGTCTGCAATTTTCCTGGAGGATGTGCAGGATATTGCCAGAAGGAGGGCGATATGGGTGACGCGGGTAGGCTGTGGTCTGGTCCAGTGTTCTCCTGGAAAAGTGTGGCTTGGCATCCTCTTGTGAGCTTCTCCTTTAAGATGGTGTTGGTCTTTCCTTGATGAGGCTATTCTCTTATTTCTAGCTAAGTTTTGGTGCCCATCACAGAGGAGCACGCACTAGGTCCTCCATACATTGTGAACTAAATGGGTTAATTCAGATATTTACAATGCACCTAGCAAAGGGTGAGTGCTCTAGACTATGGCAAGAGTTCCATTATCATTGTTATTGCTATTGTTGTTGCTTTTTCCCTGCAAGTAAGCTTATGACTTAAAAAACCAAAAAAAGTCCTATATTTATTTGCAGGGAGGGCCTCTGGTGGTTTATTTACCTGTAGAGGAGGCAATTTCCTGGGCTCTAAGGCATATACAATTAGAGAAAAGAGAATCCCTTTGTTGATAATAAAACTCTTGATGAGGCATTTGATGAATACACTGGAGATCCTTTAATGAGCCCAAACCGCAGCCTCCTCAGTTTTGCTTCCTCTGACTTCAAGGAAGAGCAGTCTTGTTTCTTTTTTCCTCAAAGACCTTCATGCTGACATTCCAACTCACTCAGCATCACCTGAGTCAGCACATCATCACAAATGACAGTCTAGTTCAGTGAACAAGCAAAATGGTTTATTTATAAGCCTCTTTCCCAACTGGGATCCTGGGAAAACTGCTGTCCTCAGAAGTAAATAAAGGTCAGGATGCCTTGCTCTATCCTCAGTGGAAGTCTAGCGATGGTTGCTTCATGATGGGTGAGACTGCAAACTCTGAATTATTCCTGGACATGTTGGCATAAAATTCTAGGGGAGACTGTGCCATGTTGACCCCCTTCACCCAGCAATTTTTGTATCTGCTGCCCCAATTGTAGGTGACACTCTTACATGGACTGTTATAATGGCTTCTTATCTGGTTTCTGTCTTCAAGTTCTCTGCCCACCCCCACTCCCTCTATTCACCCAAGAAAGATCTATATTCCTTAATCAATTCCTACCACGTCAGCACCTCTCCATAAAGCTTAGAGCATCCAATTAAAACCTATCCATTACTGTTTGCCATGTGGTGGACAATGTACATCATCATTTTGGTCTGTTTGCATTTTATACTTCAGTACTTAGAACTTTTGAAATCTATATACCTGGCACAAAAATGTCATTAGGGACATAGGTTGAATAAAGAAATTATATCCTTTTATATTCACTATCACTTCATCAGGTATTATTTACCTGTTTCAGGAACTTGAAGTTAATAATGGTTCAGTAAATTGCCCAAGATTATAGGAGAGAACCTAGGTTTAAAACCCAAACCTAGCTGATTTCAGAGCTCACTTAAACTAAGATTCAATGATGGTTCAGTAAATTGCCCAAGATTATAGGAGAGAACCCAGGTTTAAAACCCAAACCTAGCTGATTTCACTTGTTAAACTAAGCTTACTTGTTAAACTAAGATTCAATTCTGGCTCAAAATGACATGTAAGCAACTGCTCTACATAACTTGACAATAAGTTCAGCCCTTCATCTGCTCAAAATTTCCAGAATTATCAACCGGCTATTATCAACATGCCTCACATGTTGGTCCTCACTTTATTAAAATCCTACTTATCCTTCAAGTCCCATTCATCCCCACCTCCTTTCAAAAACCAATGCAGATGGTCTCTATGGTAGATTCCCCTTTAAATTCCTGCCACAGACTCACCCAAGACTTATAGGACTTATATTTCAATGCTAATTATTAGCATGCTAAGTGGATCACTTGTAAAGGAGTGAGAGTTTTGAATTTTACTTTCCCCAAAGGGTCTGATAAAGTACTGGGCACCAGAAAGGGTCTTAGTAAATGCTCTCTTTAATATTAAATTTGATATCAACCCCTGTCAAATCCCAGTTTCTCCCATCACAGTAGTGAAAGGCTATTTACCAGAAAATACTTTCTCCAGTTGGAGAAAATGTCACACGCCAGAGAGCAGCTTGGCCCAGACCCAAGGAGCAAGGTTCCTCATTGTCTAGATGGAGACTGAGAAAACAAGTTTTTTTTCTTATGAATCTGGGCCTTACTCTCAGGCTCCCCTCATTTCTGAAATCATGCTTCCAGGAACATGAAGTGTACATGTGCCTCCCCGATCCCCAACACACACATGCACATGCCCATTCCATGGAACTTCACCACACCCAGCCTCCTGAGCCAGAATCTGAACGTGGGGGTGACATGGAGAACCACAGAAGTACAGCTTCCAGAATGGGTTCTGTGCTGCTGGAAAACAAGGCTGGAGAGCCTTTCTTCCAAGAGAGAGGACGGGGATATTTCTGGTGCATTGATTGGAAATCATCAAATAGAATCCTAAATGCCAAGGCCTGAAAACCCATCTCATCTCCACGATTCTTTCCTTCCCGTTCAAGGCTGGCAGAATTGAAAGCTGGGATAACACCAAGGTATTTTTAGCAGTCTATATTGATTTTTTTGTCCTTGGAAGCTACTGTTTTCGATTATAACCCCCAAAACAACAAATGAAAAAAGCCAGCTGCGGCAAAATCTCATTTAAGGCAGCAGCATAATGATCATGATATTACAATAATCATATGTTGGGCAGTATCTGAAGTTGCAATGCTTGGATCTTCTGGCATAAAGACTCTCTCTGGAATGCTTTGCTGCCGGCATAATGCCTCTGACTGAGTGTCCTGTAACAAAACTATTAGGTCAATAGACATTTTAAGATGCGGCGCACTTACCTGCTGGCAAAGCATCAGCAGCACAAGAGAGGGATAGTCAATATCAATAACTGCCATTGGTTAAACAGTAGGAAAAAGCTGAAAATATGGACACTCATTAGAATTTTTTTACACTATCTAGACGTTCTCCTGTCAATCACATTGCCATCCACAGACTGAAGTGACTGGCCTTAAACCTTTGCTGCCCTGGACCTGTGGAATACCAGGGACCGGACTAGCTAGATTTTATGACTTTGTTTGTTCTAGTAAAATACTGAGCCTGACAACCTGTTGTCTTTTTCTCATAGATACATCAG